ACTTATTTTATATGGTTATTGATAGTCTGCAATCTCACTGGTAGTATCTTTACTTAGATTTTTAGCAAAACACTTGGCAAAGAGTCTTATGTTGTCCTTGTGGACGAGGAAAAAACATGGGCTAGATGACAGTACAATAAGGTAGATTTATTGTTTTTTGAATGATTAGGTTTCTTAATGACTTCATATCACCTTGGAGGGATGTATTTAATGGATCTGTCTCTGGCCCTATTGTGTTAAGTATTTTTCATGAGTGACTGGGATGTCCTGCAAGAGCCTGACATCTGAAGTAGTGCTCTGACTGGGGGTAACCCAAGGTGGGTGGACTACCACAACAAATTGATTAGGGATGTCTCCCTGAGATTTTTTCTTTTGTTTGTTTAAATTATTTTTTTAATCAGAAAAAGTCTACCTTCTTTCCCTTTCTCCCCTCCCCAATAAAAAACAAAACCCCTGATAAAAACATTTATAGTCAAGCAAAAAAAAAAATCTCACATTGGCCATTTCCTGAAAATATATCTCGATATACACTCTGAATCTATGACCTTTCAATGCAGAGGTGATAACACATTATCAGTGCTCTGACATCAGAGTTCATCATTGTTCATCAGAATTCCTAAGTTTTTCAAAATTGTTTGTTTTTACAATACTGTCATTATATAAATTGTTTCTCTAGTTTTGCTCACTTTATTCTTCATCTGTTCCCATAAATTTTTGTAGGTTTTTCTGAAGTCTTGCTCTCCACCATTTTTTACAGCACAGTAGTATTCCATTATATTAATATACCATGATGTGTTCAGCCATTCCCCAATTGATGGGCATGCAATTTCCAATTCTTTGCCACCACAAAAAGAACTGCTACAATTTTTTTTGGACATATAGATCTTTTCCCTCTTTCTTTGATGTCTTTCAGGTATATAAACCTTGTACTGTTAGTACAGGGGAGAATGCAAAGCAGGCCTTAGAAGAAAACGTATGCATTTAAAAACTTTAAATAATAGAAGAAAGAAAAAATCTGGTGCACAATTGAAAAATGATCAGTAAAGCAATAAGTCAAAAACAGTAAGCAAATATGAAAAATAGAAATTCTTGAGATAAGAGATAAACAAAACTGAAAGCCGATCAAAAACATTAAAACAAATACTAAAAAAATTCTGGAAATCAGATGGATAATCAAAATCGAAAGCAAAAAAAGCCCCAAATTCATTGAATTGATAAAGCCAGAAGCTGGTTAAAAAACAACAACAACAACAAAACCAAAAACAATAATAAAACATTAGATGAAAAGAGAAAGAAATTAACTTCCTATGTAAAAAATGAAAATTGAGAAATTATGACAAATGAGGAAATTAAGTGAACTTTTAGAAATTATTTCCACCAATTATGTGCAAATAAAACAGACACCATAAGTGAAATGGACAAATATTTATCAAAAATATAAATTATCTGAAACATTACTGAAACACTAAACACACTATGAACTGAGAAAGTTATAGAGTATACTAAAAAATCAACTGGAAAAAATAGCTTCAGAAAGAAATGGGATATAAAATAATTCTACAAGTCATTGACTTTTTGTATAGTACCAACAAAACCTAACAGGGAGAGACCAAAAAAGAAATTTAATTTGAAGTGCTTATAGAATGTATAAAATATCTGAGACTTCACCTAGCAAGAAATGCATAGCAATTATATGAATATAACTAAAAAATATTTACAGGAATAAGATAGATCTAAATAATTGAAGAAATATTACTTGCTCAGAGTTGGGCCATACCAACATAATAAAAATGTTAGTATTACTTCAGTGAATAGCAGATTCAGTGTCATGCCAATCAATTAGCCAAAGAATGTTTTATAGAATTTGAAAGATAAAATTTCACCTACAAAAACAAAACATGAAGAATCTTAAGAGGAATATTGAAGAAAAATGGGAAGAAAGTGACTGTATGGTAGAAGTTTAAAGTTTACTACAAACATAAAGTTTACTACAAAGCAGTGATCATCAAAATAATTTGTTACTGATTGAAAAATAGAAAAGTTGACCAGTAGAATAGATTAGGTTTACAAGATCTGACACCAAAAAAATATATCCACATGATATTTAATAAACTCAAGAATTACAACTACTGGAGTAAAGACTATTCATTGCAAAAAAAAAAATGCTGAGAAAGCAGGAAGACATTATGGCAGTATTAGGGTTATTTCAAAATCTCACACCAGAGAATATAAACTTCAAATGGTTGCAAGTTCTAGATGTATTATAAGGTCATATGAGAAGCAAATTATAAGAGACAAAATACCTTTCACAGCGATGGATAAGGGAAGATTTCTTGGTCAAACAAAGGGATAGAGAGGATCCCAGGACATAAAGTGTATAATTTTGATTCTATGAAACTGATAAGTTTCTGTATAAACAAATCAATATAATGAGAATGGGAAAGAAACTAAGGAAAAATCTTTACAGCAAATTTCTGCTATCCAAGATACATAGAGAACTGACACAAATAAAAAAGAATAAGAACCATCATTCAATAGATCAATGGCTAAAGAATATGAATAGACAATTCTAAAAAGAAGAAAGTCAGGCTATCCACCACCATATGAAAAAAAAATACTCCAAGTCACTAACAATAAGAGAAATGCAAATTAATGCAAAATAAAGCAACTTTGAGTTTCTAACTCACACCCAGCAGATTGCAAAATATGATAATAAAGAAAATTGTAGTTTTTGGAGGGGCTATTGCAGGACAGGTACACTAATGCCCTATTGCTGAAGTTATCAAATGGTCCAACTATTGTAGAAAGCAAGTATACCTCCAAAGTCAATAAAATTGTATGTACCCAGTGGTAGTATTATTCAGCTTATACCATAAAGATGTCAAAGAAAGAGTAAAAGGATGGATAGACACAAATATATACTGCAAATATGTATGTGTGTGTGTGTGTGTGTGTGTGTGTGTGTGTGTGTGTGTGTGTGTACTGCAGCATTTTTTGTTGTGGGGAAGAATTGAAACAAAATGAAGCCCTATTATTTGAGAAATGACTGGATAAATTATGGTAAATTAAAGTAATGGAAATATATTATCCCATAAGAAATAATGTAAAGGGAAGATTTAGAGAAACTTAAGAGGACTTGTGTGAACTGATGGTGAGTGAAGTGAGCAAAACCAGGAGAATGAATGGTACAATGACTACAACATTGTAAAGAAAAACAACCCTAAAAGACTCAAGACTGCTCAGTGCAATGACCAATTATGACTCTTGATAGAAGGCTGTTAATGAATAATTATTCCTATCTCGTCACTGACAGACAATGAACTAGAGGTGAAAATGAGACATGTTTTGGATACTACCAATGCGTAGATTTGTTTTGTGTGGCTGGAGATGGTGAAGGACTTAGGGAAGATTTGGCAGAAGTGGTAGTCATACTAAAAACTAGGCATAAAGGAGCATCAATGAATCATTAAACAAATAAATAGAAAAGAACAGAAGGAATTTCAGAAAGGGACATACACAGGACAGTGTCAGAACCACCATATTAATTTTGAATTATAAAAAACAAAAATACTCCAAGCTGTATATAGAGAGGATAAAAGGGCAAACAATATATGTGCCAGTACAGTTTTATATACCATCTTTTTTTTCTAATTTTCTGTACATATTGAAAAGAATCATGTTAGTCAATAATAATAATAATAATAATAATAATAACAATAATGATAATAGTAATTTGATTTTAAAGAGTAAATAAAAATGTATATATTGATAGATTGATTCTTACCATCTATTAATATCTAAGTCCCTTGCAGTGCTGTTTCTGATTCTACCACACTACTAAAGCTGATTATGCCAAAGTTAGTGATAATCTCTTAACTGCCAAATCTCATGGCCTTTTCTTTGTTCCCATTCTCCTTAATTTCAATGATGCTTTTCTTACTTTTGACTGTAACCACCTGACTACTCTCTTTTCCCTTTGCTTCTGTTTCACTAATCTCTTATGGTTCTTTTCCTACCAACATGACTGCTCCTCTTGATTTACCTTTCCTGAATCATCTCCTTTGTCCTAATATGGGTGGCACATCTGTTGCTCTCAATTCCTTATTTTGACTCTTCCAACCTTCCTATGCCTATCAGTTCATAAGCTAGTCTATTCTCTCTTTACATTCATTCTCCCAAGAGTAGAAAAGAGTGAAATGCAAGAAAAACATCAATGCCAATGTGTTCAAAGCATCATCACAGCCACAGCCTGAATGTGGAGATAAAGCAGCTCCTGGTATCTCTTTTTGCCTGGAGGCTGTGTTATAACCATTTCTTCCTTGCTCCCCATCAGCAAAGAGAACTCTAACTGGAATTCTCCTTTGGAGCCTTTTGTATGCACATTATGTCATGGCTCAGGAGCCAATTAAAAGTCTTTTCATCACCATGCAAGTAAGTGTACAGGAAATAATCACAGAATAATTGCACGTTTTGCACAACCACTCTCTGTGGTTTGGCAACAGGTAGAGCATGAAGTACATGCCCAAATGACTGTATCCCTATTGACCAGTATTCCATTACAGAGATAATGTATGTAAAATGCTTTATAAACTTTAAAATACTACATATAAGTCAAATATGATTCTTCTCCACACCTGGGTAGGGTTTGTTTAAGTGTATGGACAAAAAACCATATCTGTTTGTTAGATGGTATTTTCCTGAAAATAGACTGTAACATGTTCATATAGATGTGCTTATCTGATGCTTGAATTTTCACTGAAAATTTACTCATAAAGAAAAAAAATCATTCTTTATCAAATCTTCAACACAATTTATTTGTTTGGTGGAAGCCTTATCTATTTCTTTTTATTCATCATTAGGCATTTACTTTTAATTGGCTGTCTGCTCCCTTAAGTCTCTTATTTAGACCATTCTTCATAGGTAAGAAATCAAGAGTTGGAAAAAAATAAGAATTGGTGTTTATATAAATGGTTACCAGCCTTTTCTTTACCATCTTTCAGGTCTTATGGAAATCTGCCTGATGCATCCTCTAGATGTGGTGAAAACCAGGTAAAATTCTGCTTAAACAAGTTTTATTGACTTTGGATGATATCCAAATTAAGATCTGTTAGAAAACTAAATGCCAGGACATGTCTCCGTCTAGTAAGTTCTCCTTCAAATGGCATTTATATTTACTTCTTTCAACAAAAATACTACGTGATAGTCCAAAATCGCAGAGCATAAGGCATTCCTTTGGTAGGGTCATCTGAAGGTGTTCGATATTTTACTGTCTTCATAAGATAGTATTGTGGATATATTCATGTGAATGCTAAATATATCTAAGTGATAGTAATTATGAAATAAAATTTTCACGTGGAATTGTTTATAATATATTGTCATTTTAGGGCATTTTATAGTTAGCGTTTGGTGACTCAAGTATTGTTCAAAGAATTTGCTTATGAACCTGTATGCCAGTATAAAATGCTTCCAAGAATAATAGATAAAAATCAGAGTAATTTTCCTGCAGTACAAAATAAGTTCAGCATGACCTACTGGGTTATGACCTATGGAATTTTAAAAAGATTTGTTCTGAGGCAGGATTACTAAGATGAAAATAAGAAATATACTATATGACTTTAAATTATACATTTCTACCTGGAAAGATTCCTTTTCACCTTGCATGTTGATCTTGATCAGGCAAGAGCTGATTAAAAACAGTAACATGTAATGGTAGTTATGGTATAAAGTCCAAGAAAAAATTTTAAACAAGAACCCCCCCAATATAACAGGAATATGACAAGAAAAATAGAAATTAAAATAATCCACCACAAAAATCCTTAGAGAAAAAAATAACTGACCACCATTTGGCTAAACTGTCACTCCTAGTATTATTACCAGCAGTCATTTCTTTGTGTCAAACCCTGCTCTCTTCACTTTGCATCCCCTGCCCTGCCTGGTCTCCACTCCACAGAACAAGATGTCTCTTCAATCTGTACTTAGATTTCATCAGTTAACTTTGTGGAGGTTTATAGCATTTTTCATTATAAGAGCTTCAAAATTGTCTTGGATCATTGTATTGATCAGAATAGCCAAGTCATTTACAGTGGATTGTTGTACAATATTTAGTTTTTCTCCATTACACAAAAAACAATTTTACTATTCATTTTTTGTTAATCTTTGAGTTCCAAATCCCACCTCCCCCCATCCTTTCCCTGCCATCTCCTTGAGAAGGCAAGTACTTTAATATAGATTATAGATGAGGCCATGTAAAACATATTTAGGTATTTACCATGTTTCAAAAGAGAATGTAGACCAAAAAAATGCCCATTATCACCACTATTATTCAGTATTTTACTAGAAATGCTAGCTATAGCAATATAAGCCAAAAAGAGAAATTTAAGGAACACACAAAAAAATGCATTGAGGAACCAAAATTAAAAAGTATACTTTGATCTGCATTTAGATGGCATCAGTTCTGGAGGTGGATAGCATTTTTTATTTTATCATAAGTCCTTCAGAATTGTCTTGTAGCATTGTATTGTTGAGAATAGCTAAGTCATTCACAGTTGACCACCATACAATATTACTGTTAGTGTGTACAATAATATCCTGGCCCTACTCAGTTCACTTTGCATCAATTCAGATAAATCTTTCAAGGTTTTTCTGAAAGCGCCCTGCTCATCATTTTTTATAGCATGATAGTATTGCATCACAATCGTATACCACAACTTATTCAGCCACTTCTCAATTGATGGGCATCTTTTCAATATCCAATTCTTTGCCACCGTGAAAAGAATTTCTATAAATGTTTTTGTACATATTTCACATTTTCCTTCTTCTGAACAACTGAATAACAAATAGCAGCATTAGCAGCAATAACTATCATGAACTCAAAAAAAGTAAAAGCAAAAATAGATCTAATTAAAAGAGATAATCTGGGAAACTACATTTTGCTAAAAGGTAATGAAATAATATAAACAAATTTACAAGTTTATCTGATAATGGCCTCATTTATCCAATATATAGGGAACTGAATCAAATTTATAAAATACGAGCCACTTCCCAAAATCACTTTGACAGTAAGGATCAATTGAAGTGGTGAGAGACTTGAGGTGCAATTAGAAGACTGTTGCAATAATCTAGATGAAAGGTAATGCGGTTTCAACTAAGGTCACGAATGTGTGAGTACAGAGAAGGGGTCAAATACAAGAAATGTTAGGGAGGTAGAAATGGTAAGATCTGGTACTAGGCTGGATATATGAGATGAAAAAGAATGAGGAGTGTAAGATCACAAGCCTGAGCCTTCGAATAGTTAATGATGCCTTTAAGAGAAACAGGGACATTTGAAAGAGGGGGAGATTTAGGGGGAAAGATGATGAGTTTAATCTTAGACGCAATGAGTTTAATATTTCTACTGGGTTTCCAGTTTGAATAGAAAAAAATCTAAGAAATTATGATAAAATATTTGAAAATACCAGGAAAATTGTCCAGAAATATTAGAAGCAGATGATATAGTTTGAGAGAAACTATGGAATGCCAATGAAAAGAAACCCGAGGTTTAACTCACTGCGATATTTTCATAGTCAAATTTCAGAATTATGATATTGAACAATAAATTTGGCAGTCACCAATGGGGGGGAATTTTGTAGTCAAATACCATCAAAATATCACACTGCTGCTATTTATTATAATAAATTAAAGAAAAATTTTAATATGATATTCTGAAAAGCAAGAAAGGAAAAAACCAAAATATTGGGTTTACTTCCCTCCCCCCAATATCCTACAAAGCTAAGCCTATTTATCAAAAATGATAATTGGGCTTAAACAAAAAAAAAATCAAGACATTCCGGTAAGAGAACTAAGAGATGAACAGAGTATTCAACATATGAACTAGACAAAACCAAGTTAAACACTTAATGTAAGACTAAGAAATGAAACATTTGTTATCTTGTGGCTAGGGCTAGGAATATATGTAAGTGTGGAATGGGAAAATATTTTTGTTTATTTAAAAAAAATTCCCTACTGTATCCAATTGCTGCCTTTGAGAATTAAAATTCCTTGGGATAGGTTCTATAGTGTTCTAAAAGTGTATGGAATAAGAAATGAATGGAGTTCAAAACGGTTCTTGGAAATTGTTGTTACAGGTTACTGCATCTGAACTGGAAAAGGGAATCTAAAAGAAAGGTTAAAAAAAAGGAAAATATAGAACTCATTGGATTGTTGGAAAATTTAGATTTGGTTGATTTATGGCACTTCTGAATGGGCATATTAACATATATGTATATATTTCACGATATCAATAATACATTTATAAAAAATTGATATGTTAAGACATAAAGAACTCATAACTAAATATAAAATAGCATAAATAATAAACATCCTTTACAGACCATAATACAATAAAGCAGTAAGTAAAAAAGGAATTATGAACAAAAGATACACAATCAAATACAGACTAAATAATGATATTCTATATGATGAGCAGACTAAAGAACAAATCATTGAAATGATGAATAGCTATATTAAAAAGAATGATAGAAATGGGACCAAATACTAAATCTTGGGGAATACATGTATAGTAGTTCTTGGAGAAAAACTATAACTAAAGGGGAGAAATTTTTAACCAAATAGTGATTATATCATTTGAAACCATTGTCTAGATCATTTGTAGTTAAGATACATTAAATACAACTGTGAGGTTTTACTTCACACTTTAAAAAAGGGCAAATGGCCAAGAAATGAGAATAATCAATGTTGTCACTCTTTGAACATAGGCCACTTCTGGGCATATTCTTTAGGAAATCAAAGGCAGAAATAGTGGTCCAATACACAAAAAATTCATAGTAGTTTTCTTTGTGCTCACAAAACCTCAAAAAAACTGAGTGTTCATAAATTAGAGAATGGCTGAATAACTGTGTTACACTGTAATGTAATAAGAAATTATAAATTTAAAATTTTAGAGAAATATGGGAAGATTAGTCTAAACTAATGTAGTGTAAAATGTATATAGAAGAACATTAGACACTTATAGCAATGTAAAGGAAAATAATCGCTAAGATGAAACCAAACTTTGAATAATTTGAAAAGCAGGGATGGTCCTAGATAACAAATAATGGAATGTATCTCCTTTCTCTCAAATGAAGGGGGCTAGGCATGGGGCCAGCAGAGATTTCTAAGGAAGAATATATACAATATCAGACCCTATCTCTCCTGCTAATTGTTTTTGCTTATTTTGTTGTTGTAGGAAAAGGTTCATTCTGGAGGGGTCGGATTTTTTTCCTAAAAGTGACTGTGATATAATGACAAAATGTCAATAAAACAGATTTTTATAAAAAAGAATGAATCAGGATTATATTTGCTCCCTTGTTTTCAAAAACATAACACAACATCACACATACCAAAGCTTTTCTGGAAGAACACTTTGTTATTTCATTCTCACAACTCAGAAAAACAATATAAAATAGTATGCCGTTTTGAAATTAGAACCTGTTATTATTCTAAGAAGTCTCTTCGAGAAAATTACAGAAACCTATCATATGGTACTTTGACTTGTAGGCAGCAAATTCCTGTCATGAATGCCTAAGAGTGCTGCAGGAATCTAACTCCACTAGATTGGTTCAATCTGTCTGTTATTTGTGTTAGCTAGATAGGCATGCCTCTCCTCAGCTAATCCTTTTTTTTTTTTTAGTGATTTGTGTTCGTCACAATGAAATTCTAATCTGATTCCTTATTTATGTGGAGTTAATCCTGGGTTCTTGAGTACAAGTTCTGGCAGATCCTTACAAACTTTAAGGTAATTCTTCAAGTGTGGCTCCAGTGATGGACCCAGAGTACATTTCTTGACTGAGAATCATCTACATTTGGAGATATTCAACATCTGATTGATTATTCTTTAATGAACTTTTTTGAGCAACAGCAACTCAAAGCCCATCTATTAAGCTAGAGAGGAGCTGTGATTTGTGTCATTGGAAGGAAATGATCACACCAATGAGTTTCAGATTCTTAAAATCTAGACATTAAACCCGTACTTCCTCCTTCTTACCTGCCAAAGGAAATGAAATTTCCATTGT